GAATCCGTACCAACTCGGACCATACCCGTACAAATCCGGATCTTGACCCGTGCCACAAAGGCCCGTGCCTATCCGAACCAACCCGTACCGATACGAACCATTTTTCTTATAGGGCATATTCGGAAGTACTAGGAGAAGACTTATCTGAGATTTTGAAAGTATGAGTACTAAAGATGAATAATATTGAGAAAGAATTTAATGAACAAGTGATAATCACGGTGTTGATCAATTTATTCAACAAACACAACGTAAAGAAATTTAAAGTCATTATCGAATGGATATTCTTTAATTAAATGACAGAATAAAATATTCCTTAAATAAGATTATGATATTGTTTTAAAGCAGTGAGGATTAAAGGATATGTCTTGAGCTTATTTATAACAAAAATAAGTGGCCTGTAAAAGGACAATAAGTAGAAAGACTTGATAAGTCCAAGGTTGTAAAATGAGATGTTGTTAATCAACAGAAACATGAAGCAAGCCATACGACAATTGTGAGTTGTAGAGTAACTAAGAATACATACGATGGCCAGTACATGACAGATAAACTATAGTAGAAACCACGATGAATTGGATTGGGCTTTTAAAATAATTAACTTACATTATATAGCTGATGGGCTTAAGACAATTCACGAAGCCAAATTGATGCATAAAGGATTCCATTCCGGAAATATAGTCGATAAAGACATGTTAATCCTTACATTACTAATTTTGGTTCATGTAAGCCAGTATTAGAAGACTCAAGTTCTAAAGCGCTTTTTGGTGTGCTCTCTTATATTGCACCAGAAGTATTGTATATAAGTGGAAGGAATACACTCAAAAATCGGATAATTACTCCTTCGGAATAATTATGTCAGAAGTTTTATTGGATATCTTCCATATTATGATACTCCACACAACGAAGACCTAGCAACACATATTTGTTGAGGTTACAGACCTAAAATTTGATGAGAAGTTCCTCAATTATTTTTGGATCTGAACTTGGATGCAAAACTTCGAAACGGACCGATTGCTGAAGAATTAACTAATACGATGTGCCCTTTATTTAAGTTGAAATCCGAATAATTCAAACACATCCACAATCTATTTATACAAGTCGATTTTAGAATCGTCCAAACACTTGTAGAAAACTTAGAACAATATTAAAATTACACTAAACTAATCTAAGGTTCTCTGCCTATAATTCGCTTAATGCGTGAAAATTGGTTAAGGTTCTCTGCCTGTAATTCGCTTAAGGCGTGAAAATTGAACAAGGTACTCTGCCTATAATTCGCTATATGCGTGGAAATTGAAGGTTTGTCCAGCCTATAATTCGCTTATCAAGCCTGGTACTGGCGGGGTTAGCTACCAAAAATAAGTACTGCGTGAAATTGGGACCTGATTAGTGTAATTGAAATTTAATTAGTTCAAAGTTTAATTTAAGTAAAATAAGGAGCAGACTTACAAAAGATAAAGCTACGTATTTCGCTACGTACGATTCGCTCTAAGAAGTATGGAAAATTTTCAAATTCATAAAGATGTGTAGAAAGAATTCAAGATTCGAAATATTACCAATATCGATAGTTTAGACTTATTGGATGCCAAAGCACTTGTCCAAGTCACTGGTTGAATTTCGACAAAGATGAAGCATATCGAAAAAACTGATGAAGTTGTGAAACAACAGACAGATCAAAGATCCACGTATATTGATGATGTATCTTCGATAATCGAAGAAAAGTTAATGGTAAAGGTTCAGTTTCTACTTTATCAACAGAAACCCTCACAGAAGAACCGACTCAAGAAATAAGTCGAAATTCAAAAGTAGTTGAAGAAGCTATTTCTAGCATCTCAGCGAAAAATCTGGTCTGAGTTAGGAGACTTCACAAGTTGCTGTACAAACATATCTACTATCGCTGCACAATCGGCATCAAAAACCCAAACATCTTTATAAATAATTTAGGGATGAACAAGTGGGAATAAAGATATCAACGATCGTATTCAAGAATTTCAACTTAAAGCTGTAAAGTATGAAATGTAATAATATGGATTCTTTTTAATAGATTAGAAAACGTTCAAAAAAATCGCCGAAGGGATTTGAATCAGTGTTTTCATCAACATGGCTAGATGGAATGTACAAAGACGAATATATTCATGGAGATTTTCATAACGGCAATATATTACAAAATATATATCGATGTTGATATAACATCTTATATTAGAGATCTAGGAATACCTAGAAAGAATGATGAAAACGATTCAGGAGGTGAAATTTATGGAGTTATGTCTTATGTTGCACCTGAAATCTTATCAGGTCAAAAGTTTACAATAGCAGCAGATATTTATAGTTTTGGTGTTATTATGACTGAAATGTCTACAAGTAAACTACTTTATTATGATGTTGTGTGCGTTGGCTATTCAAATATGCAATGGATTACGTCCTGTAGTTTATTGAAGAGATTCGATTTTGAAAGAAAATTCGAATATAAATTGCATATTAGAAATAAGTTAGCATACGATAAAAATATGAAGATGCAATTAAATTAACTACAGTTGACAATCCATACGAATTTAAAGAAATTGACTTAAGTAAAAAGAGATCAATATGTAGAGTATATTGATCAATCGCAATATACTTCGAATTAAATCACGTGTACCCAATAGTGCCGTTGCTCTCAAATTATTTGAATCAAGATAGAATTTCACATTTAAAATCAGAATTTAAATCGATTAAAGGATAAATAGCTTACTTATCTAAGAATATTAATTCTAAACTTCAGAGGAAGGACATTAGACGATAATAAATTTAAATTCTATAATATTTAGGGATACATTACACTTACGATACTTACATTCAAACGAAATTTAATAAGGATTTATTTCTGAACCTGATAACAAAAATCCAGCGATCTGGAATTTGTTTGGAAATATTAAGTGATATTTTTAAGATTATTATACTAAATCGAATATATAGTTGAAAGATAAGTTAAATATTTATTATACATTAAGTTTAATTTTTATTTTAAAAACGTATATAACCGAAATATTTAATTAAACAAAAGTAACTAACCTTAAGTTCATTAAGATTTTAATAAATATATCTTATTAGATATCAAATATTTATTTAAACTATTACGAAATATTGTTTAGAAAATTCGAATTTAATCGATTCAATTATAAGATATAATTCTGGAAGAATTATGTAAAGCAGGGAAGTAGTATATAAGAATTATAATTTGAATTTTTTTTTTTGCAATATTATTTTGTTTATTAATAAGATTTAAGAGATTTGACTCAATAGTCAAGATAAGAGTTTAAATTTTAGCTATGAATCAGAAAACTTAGAAGAAAAGAACTTAAAGATGAAAATTAGTAGTAGATGATTATATAACCAGCAAGACAAAGAAAATTTATTAAGAACATTTATCCGAAATATTTACATTTCCACTATCACTGCATACTTTTACTACTATCACCAACTTCATCATCTAATACCATCAGAAAACTACTACTTTCTTCTTTACTTTCTGATGCTTCTTCTAACATAGCTTCATATCATCTTAACTTCTCGTCCAACAAAACTTCATAATCATAATCTTCTTCTTCTTCTTTATCTTCATCTTCTTTTTTATCTTCTTCACCCAACTCTTCTATGTTATACATTTCTCTCATTCTCTGTCTCTCCCTACCTTTTTCTTTTCTTGCATTTATTGTACCTAACACCTCAATCATATCATTTCTTAATACAGTATATCTAGGGTTGGCACATTTATTCATTGGGCCCAATAGAGAAAACTTCCATTGGCATTGCTCCATTGTTCCATTGGGAATAATTTGCCAATGAAGCCAATGGAGGCTAACATAATAAATAAATTATAATATATATATATATTATATATATATCATATATATTAATGAGTTAATATAGTTATACCCATAGGGTACATTAAATTTTTCTGTACCTATTATTTTGATTATATGATATTATAAAAAAAAACAGTAATGCCAATATTGCTTAGGTTAGGATTAGAGTAATAACTATGTTAGGTTTAGGTTAATGCTATTATATAATAAAATCACTCAAGAAAAACTTTTTATTAATGTACAAAAGGTGGTTTAGTATGCAATTTCTTGCAAAATAAGTGATTTTTGCCAAAACATACATTTGTTTTGAATTTTCCTGATCGTGTAATATTATATCTAACCTTGAATTTTAGTGGCGATCTATAGATCACATAATGTACATATATATAATTCCATATATTAATTTATAAAATTATTAGTAACTTTTGATCCACTGACCTATTTGAGTGATTTAACTACCAAAATGTTTGTCATGATATGAGAATTCTAACAAGCCCAAAATCACTAAAATCCAATTATAGGGTCTCAAGATCTTGTACAATTTTAATGAGTTTTTAACTCTTAGTAAAATCATACAAAAATTAAGCAATCTTGAGACCCTATGTTTGGATTTTAGTGATTTTGAGCTTGTTAGAATTCTTATATCATGACGAATATTTTGGTAGTTAAATTACTTAAAACAGATTAGTGAATCAAAAGTTATTAATAATTTATAAATTAATATATATATACTTAATAATATAAATTTGATTGGTTAATTCAATAGAGCCAATAGAACCAATGGATACTATCCATTCACTCTATTGGCTCTATTGACTAATTTTCCCAATAGAGCTTATCCATTGCCAACTCTGAGTATACTCTACCTTAAATTTTCTCTTTGCTTGACTTAAAATATTATACTTTTTCTCTTGATCTTTTAACATCCCTTTTAATACCTCTACTCTAAATTCTCCTGCTTTTATTACTTCTCTAACATCTTTTCCAATCTTCTATTCTTTTCTTCTAACCACAACTTCTGATTTTTCTCCATTTTTTCCAAAACCTACTTACTCTACCTATTATATTAAATTAATTTTAGTATTATCTTAAATTATAATATTTAAAATTTATTATTATTATTGTTACTACAGTTGCTACTATGAAAAGCCATCAACTTTTAACTATAAAATTTTTAAAATTTTATATTTTTTTTAAAATAAAATAAATTAAAAAAAATTTTTTATACATTTAATAGCTTTTTGGTTAAACTATCAAATTTATAAAAAAAAGTTTTAGTATCTTTTATTTTAAGATATTTATATCAATTTAAAGTTATATATAATTTAAAAATTTGGCATTTATATATAAAAAAACATAACAAAATTTTAAACTTTATTAATAAAATTTAAATTTATATTAACTTTTTTTGCATTTTTATTGGTCAATAATGTTACACTGCAGCTAAAAAATTGGCATATATATATATAATTTGTTGGCTTTAGGTGGTACTCACTGTAGTTTCTTCTATTTTCTCTACATTTTCAACATCTTCAACATCCTCGACTACTTTTCTTTGCTTACTTTTATCTACATTCTTACAATTATATGTAAATTATATTAGTTATTATTATTAATTTATTTAATTATTATATTCTTACTTTTGACAGTTTGAATAGCAATTGTTGTTTTCTTTTTGTAAACGAGGCATTTTAAAATTTTTTTAACAAAAATATTTTTTTTAAGTTTTAATTTTGATAGATCAAAAATTATTTTACGAAGATAATCAAACATCTAATTTAAAGTTTAGATCACATGAAGAAAAATTTTACGATTGGATAATCAAGTTATACAAATAATATTTTTAAGGAGTTAATTTTCGAAATTTGGTAATTATTCTGATGTAGACTACTAGTTAGGATATTCACTCTGTAAGCAGGTTTGAGACCAGTGAAGGGAGTCATTCTTCCTAAAGTACTGGTCTCATATAGGATATGTGATGGCCATTCAAGGGCTGAAATATCAGAATGAGGATATTTTTTTACTTTATTTATTATTTTATTATTATAATTTACTTATACAGTATTTTTTAGTTTAGATATTTATGCATGGTATGCATAAAATAAATCTGGGCAAATGTCACAGGCTAAAAGTAATCTTCAAAATAGGTGCAGTAAACCTGTGATTGAAGAACAATCAATCTAAGAAATACTGATTTATCAGTTAAGGCTTATCGGTCAAAGAAGATAATAAAATCTAAAGATCAAGTACACATAGAAGAAAGAATGAAAATCAAGAAAGAATATCTAGAAAAGAAGTGAAGCAAAGCTTTTTATTAATTATAATCATGTTGTAAATTATTATTGTAAGCTCCTTACCTTAAATGTAGTCAAAGCTATAAAAGCATTGACATTTTACTCTTGTAAACACCACTTTATATCCTATGGGATTGTAATATTTCCTACATAATACATTGAATAAATCACTTTGATAATATCATTTAATAAACTAAACAATTGCTAAATTATCATCATCATGCCTCTGGCGAGTTGCCTTATTATCTAAAATTATACATTTTCGTGTTTATACATATCAAAGGATACAATTCACCCCGTAACATTACTAAGTTTATTGTGTAACTGTTCTAAACTTTTAGAGGCAACTGTACATATAGATTTAAATGATAACTGAATTATTACTTATGCCAATATAACAATAGATGTATATTTAAAAGAAACTAAATTTTAAAAATTTGTGAAGATAGTAAAAAACGACTCTGTTAAAAAGGTAACACCACTTAATAAAACACTCTCCCAGTAAAAAACAATGCAATGAAAGAGAAAACAGCTTCAATAACAGTAATTATAGTATATTAAGTATCAAATATGAAAGATATAAGCCAGCGACAGCAAAGCTTTCAATTGACAATAGCAACAACGATGGTTGCAGAAAGTATATAAATGATATTTATTTCAATATGTAGTTTAGTAAATAGACATATTTACTATAATGAAAATATATATAATAAA